TATATAAATTGTGTATGTAAATTATGAACATTTAATATGTAAATTATGTATGTAAATTACAAGCATTAAGCATGTAAATTGTGTATGTCCATGGTACAACAACTGAACCAGAAGTACCCATGTTAAAAGCTTAATCTTAGTGCCTCTTTGTCAATGTAGTAAAGTCATTTATTGCGATTATGCAAGAGATTAAAATGTAAACACCTGGAATTTCACCATTTTAGGTATTGATTATTATTACTTCATGTGTGTGGAAAATATTAGTTGTAATTAATTTAATATAATCAAGTCATTATAACTTGGCGAACCTTATCGCCATTAGCAGGCCCTAATCTTGATTAGACTCATGGATAAGCATATGCCGCACACCGCACCATCCCACTATTTTATTTCCACATATACTTACGCTTTCTAACAAAAATAATCTAGGTTTTAAGTGATAATATATTAATGTACTTTTTTCAATTGTTAATTTTTATTGATTGATTCTTTAATTTAATAATATTTAACTCTCATTGGTTGTCGGTTGATGATAAATATTTAATTTATAACTCCTTTTAAACCATTGCTAAATCATGATTAGTTAATAGGACTAAGTTGGAATGATTGTATAGACTCCAAAATGACTAAATATCAATTTTAGTTCCATGAGTATTAGCAAAATAATAATTTTAGTCTATATATTTAATTGAGTTAATGAACAATTTGGTCCCTCAATTATTAGCGAACTGTCAATGTAATCTCTCAATTGCTTATTCATCGATTTGATCCCCGAAAACAATTATTTTTAGTCAATTTAGTCCCTCAGGCAGTCTTCCGTCGACGGCCTGAGGGACTAAATTGACTAAAAATAATTATTTTTAGGGACCAAATCGATGAATAAGCAATTGAGGGACTACATTGACTGTTCGCTAATAATTGAGGGACCAAATCGTTGATTAACTCTATTTGATTCTTATCAATTTTTATCCACAACTATTGTTCTAGGAGAATAGATGGAACACATGATGGAGGCTCGGCATGCGCGACACGTATTTCCATGCTTAGGGAAAGGTCGGAAGCTCCGCTAATTCCTCCACGTGTACTAAGGTTCCTGACGCCCTCATTCTTGCTGCGATCGGGTTTGACTAAGGGAATGAGGTTTCGTTTTCTAAGTGGAGAAGATCGAGTGGTTCGTCCCGACCTAAGATGGTCGGGTGACCCCGAAGGTGGGAAACTACTGCCACTAATTAAACCCTTGCTCGATCTTTTACAGCATGTCGGGTTGGTTAATTCTAAGATCGGTAAATGCTCGAGAATGATTCCTCTCGATGGTCCGCCTGGATACCGAGCATGTATGTGACACGTACAAGTAACGAGGCTGGGGAATATTCCCAATCATACATATATATATATATATATATATATATATATATATATATATATATATATATATATATATATATATTGTTGCAAAAATAAGATGTGAGCTCGGGTGTTTAATGTTGTCCTTAGGGGATTATAGGTTATGACACGTAATATGCAATCACAAGCAACTAGGCACTAGCATTAACAAGTCAACAAGAAGCTAAGGAAATAACAACAAGTTTCAAGGTTACGGTAACTAAACAAAGTAACACAAACACATATTAACCAGATATAAACACTAAACAAATAAATAGGACTCAAGCTATGGAGCATTATCATCTAGATGTTTCAACAACCTATGGGATTAGAGAGAACAAATAACCAAGGAATCAAGTGGGAATGCACGTAGGTATCCTAGTCTACGAACCACTATCGTGATTAATAAACAAGGATTACAACAAGGAATTGCCCCATTTCATGGTGTATCAATTCCAAGTCATCAAGCACACAAAGCATCTAAAATCCCTCAATTTCCCCCATTTTCATAGGAAAAATCGGATTTGTGCAAGGGGTAGCTAAAATCCTTGACTCAATTCTCATTGTAGCCAAGAATTCTCCAAATATATGCCAATGAATGTGTACATCAAATATTAACAAGATATAAACACAACACCCTCATAAACACATGAACCCTAGGTTAGAGTTCGCCCCCTTTTTTGCAATAATCACAAATTAAGCATCAAGATAGATAATACAACCCTAACTCAAGTCTATAAACTAACTACACATTATTTAATAGCATAAAAACACAAAAACATAAGTGTAAAGCATAAACATTACAAAGGAAAAGAGATAAGAGAAAGAAAACTTCACTAAGAAATGGATGGTAAATCTTAGAATTCAAGTGTTGAATCCTTGATTACAAGTTTGAAATATGTTGTGGAACCTAAATCTAAGCCTAATCTAACCCTAAAATATGAAAGAAATGGGTAAGAAATGTCTAGGGTTCGAACAATGTCCAAAATCGAGCTAAAATGAGTAAAAACGGGTTAAAATAAGTGCAGAGCAGATGTGGCACGGTCGTGCCACTGGCCGTGTCCAAAATGGGCAGTGGCTACTGGAATTGAACAAAAATTACACGGCCACAGACACGGCCATGCACTTGGCCGTGTCGTTTAGGCTTTGATGTCTTTATAAGAGTTTGTAGCCCTTTGAGTCTTCTTTTCCAGTGGAACAAGAATAACTTAATTTGGATACTTCTAGACCGAGATATAGTCCGAATACAACACAGTGGCCAATTCATGCGAGAATTTTGACTTTTTGACACTTGTTCAACTTTTACCTTTTTGTTCCTATGATAAAAACCATTGAAAATACCACTCTTTAGCTCCTTGGAAGTATTCATCCATCTCCATAGCTTCTCATTGGCTCCATTGACTCCAAATGCATCCAAAATGATCCAAAATAATTCATTTCTACTCAAAGATAATGATTGTGCCTAATTGATCAAATGAATAAAATAATGATCATTTTGAACACCATTGTGACAATTCATAAGCAAAACAAGGCTAAATATGATGTAGACATGTGGTATAAATATGAACAAATATGCACTTATCATATATCTAATCTAAAAACATACTCCTCTTCCCTACAAGTCTCAATCAAGATTATATCATTGATTTATGTCACCCATTTTGTATGCTAATAAATGTATACATTTTACTTTAAATATTGTACACTTCAATGTTATTAGACAAAATTATCCCTACTACATTCCCTTACACCGTTATAACACTGTTACTTTTTAAATCTAATATTGATAACTCCATCATGATTACCATACACCTATATCTATCAAATATTTTTCCTATTCTTTAATTATCATTTTATTAAAATCATTATATAATTAATTTAATAGTTGATTATATTTTAATTAAATTTTTATGAATGGTAAATCATATATGTGTGTATAAAATACATATATTATTTGTGTATATATAATTCGAATTATAATTATAATTATTTATATTTATCAATTTTTTAATATTAGACATAAATTTTTGTGTACAAAATGCTAGTATATATATAATCATATTATGAATTTTTGCATACAAAATGCTAGTATATATATATATGATCTCATCACTTTTAAAATATAATTGAGAGTGAATTTAGAGGGAGTGACTGGTGTACCTAAAATGATCCCATCACTTTTCAAAAAGTCATTTCATTGATTTGTGATTGGATCAATCAGAACGATTCACTATTTCAATTATAGAAAATTCAACTGTGAAGATAAAAATTCAATAATAGTGATGCAATTGAAGTGACTGAAACGTTTCAAATTTCACTAACCGCTCTCCCAAACAAAGTCTTTGGTCAAGATTAAGAAAAGTCTGAATGGACAGCTCAACTGGTCATAGGAGTGATGTTTAGAAAGAATGATCAGAGATCGAGTCTCACCAGCGACAGTGTGGGAGCAACCTCTCAAAGTGAGGGAGCAAAGGTCTAGCCTCTATGATTCAGTTGAATTCTGCCGCCTAGATGAAAGGTCAGACAAGACAGTGGAGATGATTCACTATTTAGTAGGGGGAAAATCGCCAAAGACTTCCTAGCCCTGACGCGAAGCGCCTTACGGTGGCCGCCGAGCGCTCCCAATCGGTCGACCCGCCAGCCGGCGTATCATCGGACGGGCGCGCTCCCAATCGGTCGACCCGTCAGTCGGCGTATCATCGGACGGGCTCGCAGAAGAGATACGGGGCCCTACGGACAAGATGTCATTATCCAATGGCAAGTACCCAGGAGAGCTCTCCGCGCAGTCGGGACCATTCCTGGCCGGGTACGCCCTAGTAACGCGTTGAGCGCGCGGACTCTATGAAAACGATTCTCGCACATTAGACAACTTTCTTATTTAGTTCGTACGGAAAAGACAGTAAGTTGACAGCACGTCAGCCCTATTCCCCTATTAGGTTAGGCTTTACATCAATCCTACTTATCATATGCGAACTCCGCATCTATGTATAAATATCCCCTCAGGATCATCATGTAGGGGCTTTTGGTCGACACTTCGAGGGCCAAAACTATAGAGAAATAACACTGCATTATTATCCTTCTATTAACTCATCTTTATTTTCACTATCTCCCAAAAGATCTTTACTTTCTTTCGGTAGTGTTGACCTGCCGAGCAGTCATCAGGATTGTACAAACCAAACCATGATTTTCATTTTCTCAGATGCTCTATCGGGTCGAAGTTAGGGATTCAACATTTTGAAAAGAAAAAAAAAAAAAAAAGGAGTAATTTGCTTTTTTTTTTTTTGTTTGGGGGGGGGGGGGGGGGCAACCGAAGAGAAAAAAATTAATTTGAGATTGAGTGTTTTTGTGAGAAACAAAACTAGGATTCATCATTCATTGAATAGTTATATGTACAGGTGTCGGTAGAGGCGTGTGTTAGGGTGAAGAAGACATATAGACAGGTGGAGAGCTAAGGAGAGTGGAGAAAAGTCGTTGTGTAGGACTGGGTGCAAACATAAATTAAGATTTTGATTACAAAAAATTAAACATTCTTATCCTCATCTCCTATGTTGTTTACTTCACTTCACTTATATTAATTAATAATAATAATTATATAATTACAATAATAATAATCACAACGTCGTACCATTTCATTACACTCCCAACTCCCAGGCTCACGAAGAAGTGAAGAACTCTCTCTCTCTTCTCTCTCTCTCTTCCCCGCACTGCGGAATTCCCTCCCAAATTTCTAGGGTTATGTTCTCCTCCAATCACTAATCCATCCACTCACCGCTATCCCTCTCTTCAAGGTGCAACTTTCTCAATTTTCACTTTTTTTTTCTTTTTCTTTTCTAGTCCCATTTATCCTTATTCAATTCTGTATTTGTTGTGCGCTCCATGCTCAAATGCATGAAATACGTTTTATTTCTTTCTGTCTTCTTCTTTGGTTTTGATTCTCTTGCCGGCGTTTGTTTAAATTGCTATATGTTGCCGGCTGAATTTATGTTCCTTATGGGTGGATTCTATATTTGCTTTTATGTTTGACGAATGGGAGATGGAGAAAAGGTTTAAGGTTTATAGTGAAGTGAGGTTGTGATTCAAGAAATTGTTGGTAGGATTTTTGCTTTTCTGTCCATTCTCAGTTATTATGGATAATGGGAAACAAGGTGGTGTTTGGTGTGTGGGATCATAGAGCTTAAGGTAGATAGTAGGATTGATTGATGCTTGCAGTTTTGGATAAATTCGAGTTAGCTGATAATTGTGCTATAGTAATGGTATATGGTATAGGATTTTTAGTACAGTAATTGGGAAGAACAGAGCCTGATCCTTATAGTTTTCAAGGTTTCATAGTTATATCATCAGAAGAATGTGTTTTGTATTGATTTGTTTTGTATCTGCAATGATACATATACAGATAAGTTGTGCCAATTATACTTCCATAGTTTCGTGTATTTTGAAGTGAATTATACAAGAAGAATAGCACTTTCATCATAGCTTCTGAATTGTGTCGATTTCTCTTTACTGATATTAAGTTTATCTTCTTTTGTGTGGGAGATCAGAATTTTGGTTTACAAGGTGCTTAAAAAGAATGCAATCGAAGTCTGAAACTGCAAATCGGGTAGAAGCTCATTCATACGATCTTCCACGTTCAGCAGCATATGCTGATCCCTGGTGGACAGCTGCTGGCTGTAATCCAATTAACCCTCGCTCGAAGCGGGCAAGTGTATCTGATTCATCGTCACTGGAGCAATCTGTTGATGATCAATCACAGTCGGATGGTGATGATGATACTGCTAAAAAGTCGCAAAATTCTGCACCTTCAGATCAAGGTCTGTCTTCGAAGATTAAATTCCATTTGATCTAAAATTAAGCTAAATATGGAAGTAATATGCCCCAGGGAGTGAGAACTTGCTTTTGCCCCATTCTTGACATCTATTAATATGTATTCTTTGGAACTCATTCTCCCACTTATTCCTCTCATAGAGTTCCTCAAATTATAGAGGGAGGTTTTGCAAATTGCAATCTCTTCCATGGTGGATATTTCTTTTTGAAACAATCATGAATTAATTAATTTATAAGAGTTTCCTTTGGATTGGATTGTTTATTTGGATATGCATGATTTCAAATGTTTCAAAAACCAAGGTTGTATGAAAGAATAAACTTGTGTAAGATACCCATTCAGGTGGGTATATAACGACCTTATTTTATGCATACAACGAGCTTATTTACCTCAAATGTAATGCTTTCCTCTATTTATTTTTAGATGAATGTTATTCGTAATGAAATCTTGTTTCAAGGTTAGATGGAAATTATGGGCAAGTGGATCAGAGTCTTCAGCACGCCAAATCAACAATGTCTGCAAGAACCGATGAGAGCCTTATACAGCCACCACAGCTTGAACTTGTTGGACATTCAATTGTAAGCATCTTTATAAAAATCTGTGGGGGAATGTTGATAGTCGTTTCTTTATCTAGATGCTGTGTGTAGTTAATCTTGATTAACTTGATTTAATGTTGCTACTGTTTCAGGCTTGCACTCCGAATCTGTACACAGACCCATATTTTATGGGGATGATGGCCTCTTATGGTCAGCCATTGGTATGTGAAATTGCTTTATTCATAATAATTTTAATTATTGAGTACGTTTCTCTCTTCTTTTCAAGTTAAAGGTAATTACTTTCTTTCTTTTTTTCTTGACATGGATCTTAAAATCTTTTACCTGCTACCCAGGTTGAGAGCTGCAAACCAAATCTTTTTTCTATTTGTTATGGAATAGCATTCCTTTTCCACCAATTTTCATTTGGCAAACAAAACATGCTGTTAGTGTTATCAGTTGGCCTCTTTTGAGGATTGTCACGACAATTATAAATGATTTTACTCGTTTTCATCCCCACTTCTTAAGACATTGTATAAGAATGATAATATATCTTTCAATATCGAAATGATTGTTCATTCTTCGTTTTATCCTTTCCAAATCCGTTTAAAAAAAATGATTTTCAATTCTGGTTTCAAATACTGTTTAAGGTCCACTTTCACATTTTTCAGCTTTTCTGTGGTCATCTTGGAAATATAGGAACCAAGCTTGTGTATTCATTTTTCTAAATTCATGGCAGAAGAGCTTTCAAGGAGTTTAGAGAAGATTCATAATAGTTCATTAATTTGTTTGCCCCCTTGGGGAAGGAAAGGCCTTATTTTGTTTAAAAATCTTGGAACTAACAAAATACGTATTGATCAGGTTCCTCAGTTTCTTGATATGCAACAAGCTAGGATGCCTTTGCCACTTGAAATGACTCAAGAGCCCGTTTACGTGAATGCCAAGCAGTATCATGGGATCCTCCGGAGGAGAGAGTCACGTGCTAAAGCAGAATCTCAAAAGAAGCTAATAAAAGTTAGAAAGGTTAGTCTATTCCTAATCCTACCTCGTACCCCTTTTCTGTCCATGCTTCATGTAAACTTCTTAATTGACACCTCTCTCTCTCTCTCTCTCTCTCGTTTTCTCTCTTCAAAGCCGTATCTTCACGAGTCCCGACATCAGCATGCTTTGAAGAGGGCTAGGGGTACTGGAGGGCGTTTTGCAAAGAAATCTGAGACAGCTGCTTCGAAAGAAACAGGCTCTGGTGCAGCTGCCGATGCTTCAAAAACCCATCAAGCAGCAAAGGCGCCCGATCCCCAACTTCCATCGATAAATGGAGGCAGCAGTTACTACGTTGGAGGTTCATCAGGTGGACGGGGGAGTATTGCAACTAACGCAGCATAGGAAGACAACAGAAGTGGAGTTGTTCTCGATCTTAGCTTTTTCAAGCTGGGCGGCAAATCATTCTTGGCTTTGTTATGGTTTAGGAAGGGGGCGGAGTGTTGTTGGCCTTTTAGTTTCTCGCGATTTTCGCTGTGTTCTTCCCTCTGTATAAAGATTGGTAGGATTTAGATTGGGTTGTGTTATGTAGGTAGGAGAGACCATCTAAAGTGTAGGCAGGAAGAGCGTCTACCATTACTGCTTGCATTTTCTTTTCTCACATAGACATAGCTTAAAAGTCCTCACTGTGGAGCTGAATTTTGATCTGTTAGTTCTCTCTTCTTTTTCTTTTCAAGATTTCAGTGGACCACCAATAAATATTCATTTTTAGTATGCTGAAGGTTCATTGTTCTGAAAGTTTGAGCCTTCATAAACAAAATGAAAATTCAATGAACTTTATATTAGTGGTCTATAATGTAAGGTGGACTATGATCTATGTTTCTATTATATAATGATACGATTTGTTTTGCTCTTATTGAATTAAAAAATAATAATTGCACCCTAATCATGAGATCTTACCTTCTTAAGAAGGGATTTGAGATTTTATCGATATACATGTTTTTTTTTGAGTGTTTGTAATTTATATATTAGTGGCCAAGAGGGATTTGAGATTTTATCGGTAGACATGGTTTTTTTGAGTGTTTGTAATTTATATAGAGTAAATACTCAAAATGGTCCCTCGACTATAGCTAAATTCACAAATTGGTCCTTGACTTTCAATTTTAACCAATTAAGTCCTTAACTTTGCAATTTTAACACAATTTGGTCCTCAGTATAATTGACAGTTTGTTGACTGTGATTTTTGAGGATATATATGTAATTTCATGGTCCATCGTCGGGTTTTTAAGATTCCGGTTGCATTTCCAGATCGCACTGTTACATTTGAATCCACTGCCGAAAGCAATCTACCAAATCCGGTTGCCTTTCTTCATCCTCCCTTTGGATTCAATGTAGTTGAGTTCGTACCAGAGCGAAGAAGACGACGTGTTTCCGAACTGGTGCAACGTCATCCTGGAGGCCTCCACGTGCTTCGACGAGAGCTGAAGGTTCTTTTGGAGATCATCGGTCACGGTCAACAAATGGTCAAATAGATGGAGGATCAAATCGTGTCAAAATTGCAAAGTTAAGAACTTAATTGGTTGAAATAAAAAATCGATGACCAATTTATGAATTTAGCTATAGTCGAGGGACCATTTTGGGTATTCACTCATTTATATATTACGGAGTAGTTGCCAAGAGGGATGTGTTTTAACGATATACCTATTTTTTTAAGTGTTTGTAATTTATGTAATCACGCCATGTAATAGAACCAGCAGTACTTAAAAAAAAAAAAAAAAAAAGTAATCACACAAGGTGCTCATAACCTCATTGATACCAACTACATAGATTGGTAGCTTCACATTCAAATTAAAAAAGCTCTCATGAAGGTCAAACTATATTTAATTGTCTAAAGAAATCAATTTATTTTAATTCTAGAAATGCAACGATTTCGATTTGTTTCCAAAAAAAAAAAAAAAATTGCAATAAGCTGATTGTTTATAATTTAATGAATTAAAAGGTCTTTAAAGAATCTGTTACAATCAGGAAAGAAAATTTTAAAAACATATACGGAGTACAATATTAAAATACTTTATTAATGTATTACGTAAAGTAACTACAAATCTATAAATGGTATGATCACTTTATACTTTGTAAAATATAGTGAGATAAAATTATGATATATGTGTAGGTGTAGAGATACTTCATCCGCACCTACCATATAACCTATACTAACACGTGTATAAAAATTTCTTTTATTATCGAGGCAGTATTTACTACGACGAAAATATGAATGACTTATTGGAAGAATGCATGTATGTCTATTGACATCCCTAAGTAGTGTGAGTGGTGTGGATTTATTTATTGTTAATACTACTCCTAACGCGTAAACATTAATTATTTTCTCTGTTGATCTAATAGGGTTGAGAACTTCAGATTCATGTATAGCTGAAACAATTAATTAAATTTCTCAGTTAATCTAATAGTAATAGTAATAGGGTTCAGATTCATGTATAATGAATGCCAAGTGGAGTATTTGCTCCACTATCTTCTCTTCAATCCTGTAAACTGTCAAGGGTGACCTAATCCAGAAACTTATTATGGAAAGTTTTTGAAATTCAAATCCTCAAAAGTGGAGCCCACCTTATAATCCGACAATAGACTGTGGAGACGCCACCATTTTCATCTTCCCCAAGTTCTGCTCTCTCATCCGCCTCCGGGTATTCTCTCTGCTTTTCATCGCTCCGCGAATCCCAGAAAACAAAATGGTGATGTCGAATAAGGTTTTGGCGTACGAGGAAAGCCGGCAGAAACGCCTGGAAGAAAACAAGAAGAGGATGGAAGAACTCAACCTCAACAAGCTCGCTCAAGCTCTCCGAACCTCCCCCAAACCCTCCCCGGTACTTGTATTTGTGTCCATCCATTTTCATTCACATTTAATTTTTCCTTTTACTTGTACCCACTTCTTAAAGTTGCAGTCTTTCGCCATTTTTCCAGATGAAGAAGACGAAGCCGCGGGCTAAGCTGCCGGTGGAGCTCACCGCCGTGAGAAGGTCCAGCCGCGTCGCCGATAAGCCTGCTCCTAATTATAAAGAAGTTAGCTTTCTTTGATTTTGTTGTTGTTGAGCATATAATATATAAACATAAATCTGCAATCTAACTATTAACTCCCGACTTTTAGTTAAAATGAGGCATATGTTTGAATTTGGTATCCAAACACATGTCACTTTACGTGTGATGGCGTGTTGAACATATAATATATAAGCATAAATCTGCAATCCAATTATTAGGTTTTTAGTTGATTAAAACTAAAACTGAAATGAAGAAGAAAAGATTGATTTAATGATTTGTTTTGGCCTGAGATCTTGAATAATGTTGGCAGATTGGACTTGAGACTTTGCGAATTGGAAGGAGAAGGTAGTTGGCTAGTTGGTCTTGTTCTATCTGATGATCCTTTTTAATTTTGTTGTGGTTTAATTAATTTAATTTTCTTTGGGATTATTTTGGTTTATAGTTATGGAAGAAGAGACTTGTTAACCCGGGTTTATGCGGCTGATGGAGATAGATTAGATGCTATACAAAGAGCAGAAGAGTTGGAAGCAGGGTTGGATAATCAATTCCCAAGCTTTATTAAACCTATGCTTCAGTCACATGTCACAGGTGGCTTTTGGCTGGTAAATTCTTAACAAGATATGATCTTTGATCATCATAATTCAAAAAATTATCATACTCTTATTAAATGTTTTGTCTGTGTGTGTTATAGGGACTGATAAAGATTAATGTTAGTGTTGGTTGGTTTGTTTTTTTATTTGAGCTAGTATCTGTGGTTGTTACCGTAACTACAAGGTTTCCATTTATTTCAGTATAATTCTTGTATAAAAGCCTATGCATGGAATCAATAAGATATTGAGTTTTATTCACTAAATACTTCACAGGGACTACCTGTTCAGTTCTGCAAGGCTAATCTTCCAAAGCACGATGAGATGATCACTCTGGTAGATGAAAATGGCGATGAAAGTGATACGAAATACCTGGCTATGAAGACGGGGCTGAGTGGTGGATGGAGGGGTTTCGCTCTAGACCATGAACTGGTTGATGGTGATGCACTGGTTTTTCAGTTGATTGAACCAACCAGGTTTAAGGTAAGTAAATCTGAATCCCTCCTAATCTTTTTCTTCTTTCTATCTTTCTCTGGGATTGATAGTTGGTGGGTTTTTACTTTTTGCATATAAGTTTGACGATTTAGGCTTTCATGGTTAACTTCACTTTGAATCTCCAGGTTTACATCATTAGGGTAAATGAAGCAGAAGAAAATGGTGCAGAGTAGTGTTGTGTAGCAGTAGGAACCAAATGTTAAGGCTCGAGTGCAGGGAGCGTATCCCCGTTTGTAATGATATTAGTTTGTTTTGGAAACAAGGGAACTCGCTTGAACTTTGAATGTACTTTACCTTTTGTTGTAGAAAGAAATCTATTTATTTATTGCGAGTGTGTTTTTAGTTTTGGGATTCGGGGTTTAGGATGGAAGGTGAGAAATGGAGCCTTACCAATGGGGAAGTGTTTGATTAAAAGGAAAGTGATTGATAAGAGTTCTTTGCCCCCTTACACAATGAGTTTTAACAGGTTTGTTTTTTTAATAACTTTTTTACATTTTGGTTGGAAATTTTAAGACTATGAACTTGCTTATGATTAAATGAAGATCTTATAAGGTAACTTATCCATTCACCCTCAACCAACAATGATAGCAAATCTTGGAGAATCTTATGGAGTTTGAAACTCCAAATGCTACTTGGAGGATCTTCTCAAGATGTAATGCTCTAAATTCAATCTTGTTTCAAGTTTGTAAGGTAGTCAACATATTTATTTCTTTGTAAACGAACATAATCGAACGCTTACCGAAATAATAAGGTGTTCGAACGCTTATAGAACACGAACACGAGTAATTTGTGTTATTACAAAAACTTCAGAAAATCATATCTAGGGGTGTTAGCGAACAGAGTTTTTCATAAATTACTCGTGTTCGCGTTCGGTAAGCGTTTAAACACGTGTCCGTGTTTGTGTTCGGTAAGCGTTCGTTTATGTTCGTTTATTAAGGTAAACGAACACTAACAAACAAAATTTAGAGCTCGGTTTATAAACGAACAGAGTCTGAACAGTTGTAAGCTCGTTTGCTAAGAAATCGTGAACAAGCTCATTTGTGTTCATTTAATAATGTTCGTGAACAAGCTCATTTAGTGTTCGTTTAATAATGTTCGTGAACAAGCTCGTTTGTGTTCGTTTAATATTTGTTTGTATTCTCTTTGTAGTTGTGTTACTTGTTTGGTTATTTTTCGTGAACATATATTATTTTTTGTTCACGAACGAATTGTGATCATGAACATGTTTATATATTTGGTTATTAAGCATTCACAAACATGTTTATGAACGTGAACGAATATGTTCACAAATATTAATGAACATGTCCGTGTTCGTTAATGTTAACGAACACGTTCGTGAACACCGTGTTCGCGAACATTAACAAACACTAATGAACACTTAACAAACGAACATGAACAGGATTTTAAAAAACCTTAACAAACAAACACGAACAACCTCCATTTATTTATGTTCGGTTCGTTAAGAGCCCTAAATTCATGTCTATTAAGATTGCTCTAAGCTCTTACTCAACAAATTTCTACAATCAATTCTTAGAAGTGACTTATTCTCTCTTCCCCATCTCCTTTACAACTGCAATAGGCAACCACTTTTGTTTAGCTAGCGTTAATACTTCTATTTGCTAATGTTTGTCATGAATCCTACATTCCTACGATCCAATTCCCTTATTATTCTCTTCTTAGGGCATTTTGCATTAGAAATATGAGACTATTCTTAATATACTCAAGTATTTTTTCTGTCTTGTGAATCAAACTTAATGATAAAGTGGCTTTAAGGAGAGCATTGTTGCTTGATTTATGAGATTTTACATACTAATAGTGAAACTAAATGGGGTATATGTAGGAAGAATTTTGGAATATCATAATGTGTCATATATTAGTTTTTAAGAGCATCTACACTAATGCATTTTTTGTATTTTTAGAATAGTAAAAATTAAGTGTGCAGTTTTTGCACAAATAGGACATGTGGATTTTTTTGGTGTATTTTTTTCATGAAAGTGCAAAACTTTTGTGGGGTCCACTGATTGAGAAATGGAAACAAAGCATTCTTCTTTTCTTCGCGTGTTGGAGATGCAGGCGCCCGCTGGGCACATGAACAAACTGGGTTTTTTTTTTTGTTTTTTTTTTCCTTCCTTTTCTTCCTCCTCCCTCTACCCTCTTTCTCCTACATGACTATGACAAAATTCACCAAAAAATCAAGCTGATGAGGATGTCCTAAGAAGGTATTGAAGTAATTCATAAGTGCTTGGAGTTAATATTTTCAGACCATCAAAACTCAATTAACTCAAAGTTTTAAGTAAATCTACTAGCTCAAGAAGATTGACCTAATATAGTGAAATACAATCTAATTAACTCTATTTAGATCCAAGTCCATAAAAAGAGAAGAAGATAAAGGGAGAAGAGAATCTCTACATTATATAACAAATCACTACACTTGAACAATGTCACTCTCGTTCTCTCACGGACTACAACCCTTAGCTCTCCTATCTCCCATTATCGTTATCTTCTTCACCAAGTTAGAACCTCCATGAATGATTTTCAAGAAAGCTTAACTATGTACATGTACTATTACATCAAAATATATAGAAATCATTTGACTTATTTTAATTAAAAAAAAAATAAAATCTTTTCCCTTTTAAATTTTCACATAATAATTGTGTTCTATTTTTGTTTAAGTTATATTACTTATTAAGTTATTATAAATACAGAGTATTAATTTCTAAGATTCTTAGATTCAAAATCCAATAACAAGCTAGATTTAAACCAAATTTATTCTTTTAACTAACTTTTTGGTGTAATTAGGTTTCAAATATATTACCCCCTCCATAGAATCATATCAAGTTGAAGCGATAACTGGTATAATATTATATTGAAAATCGATTGCTGAAATGTTTGTCAAAATATCAAGTGTTATAAATAATATATTTAGTATGGTCATTATTAGTATTGATTATGTAACGGTTAGGTGATTAATGGCTGCATTATGCATGTCTTTCGTTATATTTGTATATTATATATAGATGTGTTGTGGTTGTATGTAAGATACACATATGGTTGAATAAGAATTCTTTGTCTTGGTTCTCCTTGTTTATTGTTCTACATTCACTTCACTTTTATCTTTACATTGTAATCCAATCCTGCAATCACCCGTTAAGAGCTAAAGGCCAACGGGCACAAACAATATTACAACAAATAGGAGAGTGTTGAATTTGACTTATACAAGAGTTACAACAACAACAACAACAACAACAACAACAACAACAATAATATTTCTTTGGTTGTTTTCAAAAGAACTATTATTATTACGCTATTTATGGGTGGACTTGACCGACTAACCTGACCAAGGTGACAAGATCCACTTTCCATTGTAGACTTTGATCTAAAATGACATTCAGATAATGTGTCTGCAATTAACAAATTGTATATATATAAATAAATTTAAGGTATTTATTAACTGAAATCACATAATATGTTGATTGTCAATACATAAATTTTGAATTAAGGTCTATAATGCAAAATGACAATCGTTATGTTGTGGAACCGTGTCCACCTTGCTAGGTGGACACAGTTCAATGTTCATAATTACTAAACTATATATTCATAATTATAAAGCTATATATTCATAATTTTTGAACTTCATATTCATAATTATTAAACTCTATATTCACAATTACAGAACCCTATTTCATAATTATAAAGCTATATATTCATAATTTTTGAACTTCATATTTACAATTATAGAACTATATGTTCACAACTCTATGTTCATAATTTTTGAACTATATATTTATAATTATGAACAATTTTGAAACCGTGTCCACCTTTAAATCCTGGTCCAGTGGTCCATGACTCCATGGTATATATAACAATTGAATTTTGCTTTGATTTTATAAATAGGCCCAAATGAACCTTTGCAGTAAGTAAAATAACAAATCCGGCCCAACACAGGATATTTCATGTGTTGATGAAGAATTGAAGATAACTGCTAGAGTGACAGACACACCACTCCATTCTGTGCTGAGCTTGGAAACTTGGAAACTTGAAATGCTTCTTCTCCATCTTCATCACTGCATATCTCATAAGAAACACCCCTTTTTTTCTCCTCCTTTCCTCTTCTTCAACACCCACAAAGCTTCAGTATCTGCGTTTGGGGTGGGAAGATGGGAAGCACTCAAGAAAAGTAGAAGAAGAAGAGGACAAGGAGTGAGGAGGCTGAGAGCGGCGGAGAAAGATTCGGATTATGAAGTTGACCCGGATAAGGCCCGAGAGGCTCTGAGAAAGCTTGATGAACAGCTTCAATCTCTTTCTCAGAAAAAGCCCGACCCTCCTCCTAATATTAGAGGTAAACCCTCTTATCTGTTTCGCTATTTATTCAATTATTTAAAAAAAAAAAATGAGTTGATTTAATTGCAGCAGCTTCAGATATAAATGGTGGTCCGAGTCGAATGACGCAAGTCCCAGTTCCAGAAGCAAAAGAAATTACGTCGTCTGACTTGGTTAATTTGGCCATTCTTCTCTTTCTGTTTACCATTTTGTATAATGTCTTCTTCCTGGCGGTGATTAAGCCCGCCGTTGATGGGCCGGAGGATATTGCTCCAGAAATCACTTCTGTTTTAGAAACTCAACAAGCTTCTTCGCCATTTCAGGTTGGGTATGTATATCAATATGGAAGCTTCACCATTTGAAAATGTACTATTGTCTTGTCTTATAGAAACATCATAACACTCATTTCCATGTCAAATGTTATACATATTCTGCTTTACAAAGTTACTGTTGAGATTTCAGTTGCATATTCCTCTGCACAGATTGTGATGAAATACAAATAGTGAAATAGGTAAGTGGAAAATCAATAACTAATAAGAATATGGCAGAAATCCTTGCCACTTTGCCAGCACCCCAAAAAAGACTAAATAACAACTCTAACTTTGTGGATACTAGGCTCATTGCTCAATGTTGCAGAAGGTGCTAGGCGCTAATTGGCTGAGAAATATTTTTTTTTTTTTTTTAAAAGAGGTAGTTTTCCAGCATCTTGTGGCGGGACAGGCAATGACCTAGGCTTGAAATTCCCTCAGCCCAGGATTGTCTAGGTTGATTTTTACAATACTGACTATGCTAAAGGCCCGCATGTGCACAGCTCAACTGGTTGTAAATGTGAAATTTGTTACAATTAATCAAGAAAAAGAGAAATAAATAATGCCTAGTCGAGTTGAGTGCCTAGTCGACTAGCTGACTTAAAGGCGACTAAGCTTGAAATTCTCTCAACCCAAGATTATCTAGGCTGATTTTTACAACACTGACTATGCTAAAGGCTTGCATGTGCAGCTTAACTGGCTGTATAGGTGAAATTTGATACAAGTAAACAGGGAAAAGAGAAATAAATAATGCCATTACAAAATCATTCATTCAAATCTGGTATTGAAAATTATTACAAAAATCGGTGGACAATTGTCCATTGTTTGATAAATAGCAGATATTATTTGAGAGTAAATCGAAGCAAAAATGGCAAATTTACTCACTTTGCCAGACCTGTAACTGTGAAATATGTTGCTCAATGAGATTTACTACAAGTATTATAAGGTTAAACATCTATTAACCACTTAGGAGTTAGGTCCTAGAAAAATGGCTGATTCTGGTCCTTGGAAGAGAACCCATTACCCCCAATAATTACTCTCATCTTAAGCATGGATGTGTATACATTAATGAGGTTTTGGCTTGAATCCATCAACAGCAAAATTTCTGGTGGCTGCAGGGATAGCTAAGCGAATTCCATTGAGTTCCGGTTTTGCTATGATCTGACAACCGAGGCGTGAACTACAAACAAAAATAAACAATCTGATTAGCTTTGGTATTAAAAAGCTTTTTTAGCACTATAGAGATGAAGAACCTACGTCTCTGTGAGGCCAAAAGCAAGGTCCAACATGTCATTCTCCTCGTCTTCTGGATCTTCTAATTTGTTGTAGTACTCCATATCCTATCAAAGCAGGCCAAAAGATAAATAAAAGACATGCAAAAAACAGTCTAATTGCATGAAATCCGCAAATAATTTTGAGAAATTTCTGCCCCTTGAAGAAGAAAGGGAAACAATGAGGTCTATATACCATAACTATTAGATGACATGTGGAACAGGCAAGTGACCCTTCACAAGCTCCTGGATAACATCAATGTAGACATTCCAATATTAGAAATAGAACCATGGATTGAAAAAGATATTTAAAACATATCGGGAATCCTGTTTTTGCAGTGAATTTACAAGGTATGATGTTCAGATTTCAGAACCAACAAATATGTCCAACAAATTCAAGTATATTAGAGAAATCAACTACAATTCTCTTTTCATTTTTTCCAAGTTTGAAAGCAAGAGGATAATACAATCCTAAATGAAGAACTCACTAAAGAGAAAGCACAAGAGCTTACCTTCAAGTTCAATGTCATTTTCATGTGCAGCTTCTAACATAGACATCCCAACGGGGACCTTTATCTGCTGCTCTTCTCCATCCTTGTCTACAAATGTTACAGAAATTCTGCAAATTGCAAACAAGATACAAGCTTGAGTCTAGCTTTAAGAATTATAGGTGGTAAGATTCATTAGCCAAGCGGGTCAACTTGAGGAGCTCCTATGTTCTTTGTGAAGAAGAGAGATGGCTCCTTAGGACTTTGCATTGATATCATGGGCTTAATTGAGTTACTCTAGAGAACAAGTACGGTTACCAATCATAGACAAGTTCTTTGACTAAATGTGCAGTGCATGTATATTACAGAGGATTTTAATGATTATGCATCCATTGTTGAAACACCTAAAGAAGGATATGATGTTGGTCCAATTACTTATAAACTGAAAGGACTAAGTTCTAACAATCAATTATTAAGTAAAGAAGGGAAGTTGCCATAATAAGTACAAGGACTAAATATTAACAGCTCCTTATTAATAAAAAAGTAAGAACACAGATCGCATACAGAAGCAACATGTAAACATACTTCTCTTTCTGACTTCCATTGCCTGGATCATTATTGCCTGCTGATGTACAAAAATGCTCATGCCTCTGGAATATAAAATGAAATATAGGTTATTCAAAACAAGAATATTGAAATTGTTCCTTTGAAATCAGTCATTTCACTATTAGCACCAAACTACTCCATCAAGTAATGAATGAATGTAATGTTCACCTACCCCATTTGGCACTTTCAAAGAAAAGAAAACCAAGGGGAGGAATAGAAGACAATATTTAATCAGAGAAGGAAAAAAAAAACTACAGAGCACCCAACCATGACAGAAATATATAATTTAGTTACATACAGAGTGGAAAATAGCAACAAAGAAAGTCTGGGTTCTTTTTATTACCATTCGGGCCATAATGTCACATCATCATATAAATATATAATCTTGTATGGTCCTAGAATCAACTCCAACTTTGTGCTAACTAAAAAAGGGAAAACGAAAGAAAAGGAAAATTTGCAAGATTCCAAGGGGAGGGCTGTAGGATTATAGAGAGTAGAAATGGTATAAGATCACACATAATAAGGATCATAATATTATACAATCCAACTATTTGTGCCTAATTACGAGGTGTCTTTATCATCTTATGCTTTCATTTATATTGTTGTTGCAATTCAAAATGCCTGAGAATTTGAACAGAAATGAAGAAATGCATTCAAGTAGTAAATTATTTCCAATAACCTCATTGCAAAATAATAGGAGAATAGGAGCTTTTTTTGGCTTCCATGAAATATGATAAACTTATCAAGCTAAATTCACTTAGATCAAACCACAATCACAATCTAAAACACCAAAATCACCAGAGTTATAATCTCTGTGGCTTAAGCATTCATAGTCATACCCAATGAGAAGGTCCCTTCGTCAGCAATCTAGTTGCATTCCTACTTAAGCCAAGTAGTCTGTAACACTCTCTTGCTGACCTATATTCTATAAACACAACAAAAATGAAAAAGACATGAGACCTTTTTAATAATGAAAAAGAAATCCCAATGAAACTAAACAAACCCAAAATTTCTTCAAATACAAAACCCCCCAGAAAAAGGAAACAGAGTATAAGCCAAAACATTTTTTTTTTTAATTTGTTTTGCCAAAACTGAGAGAAGGCCGACTTTCACACACCATTTGAAGAATTAGAATCAATTAGGAGATTAGGTATGCAGCATTTTTCCGTACTATAACCCCTACAAACCTGAAATTAGATCAGCAATTTAGTCAGCCAACGAAAGAGAAATAGACGTGCACAGAAAGGGAGTGTAAGAGAGATTGGAATCCATACAGAGAGGAGTGAGAGCTTCCCGGCGACAGAGTGAAGAGAAAGGCGGTGGGCAAGCCGGTGAATGTTCGAAAGGACCATTTGAATCGGAGAGAAAGCAAAGGGCTTTTGCACGGTTGGATCGCGTAGAAGTGTAAAACCTCAGGAAAACCCTAATTTTTGTGTGAAGGAATTAGGAGGATTAGGGAGACCCGCCGAGAAGACACGGACAAAATCGGGTGGGTTAACGGTTGAAAGCAGACCGGGTTTACCAAAATTCTTTGGGGGCGTTCGGCTTACTTCAAGTTAGAAACGAAATTAGAATTAGAATCAAATACATAATAATTAATAATAAGTTTAAAGTTGCGGGGCGTGGGTCAATTATTGGACTTCAGAAAAAAAATTATTTAAGCCATAAATAAAAATTTAAATATATATAAATGTATATATCGTATGTGTCTTTAATGTTTTTCTGGATGTCTAAACTAAGGACTTTTAAAAGAAAAAAAATACATTTGAATTATCTCCACAAAAAGTGGTCTTGGACTTATAAAATGACATTTGAGTTTATGAAATGCCATGTGCATAAAGAATATATTATATAATCATATAAAAAAATGTGTTCAATTAGAGTTTAAATTTACTCATACAAAGTTTGAAATTTGCTTTTTAAAATGTAATTATCTTAGTTATTATTCGTATTGTAAAAATTATAATATAGATGAAATACAATTAAGAATAAATCAATGTGATTATGTAAATTCTCTCTATAAGTTTTTTTTTTTTTTGAAATAATCTATATAAGTTTATTTAAATATATACATAATTAGAGATTATATTAACCATACAAAGTTTTAATTATAATTTTGTATTTTAAAAAAATAATAAATAATTGACCAATGGAAGCTCAAAAATATTATTATATTAAACAATTTAAAATATTTTTATTTTTTCTATTTTTTATTTATATTTATAATAACATAATTTTTTCCCCGTGCATCGCTCGGGTGAATTACTAGTTTGTTATATTAAACAAGAATCAATTATTTAATTTAAAGTATTCATTATTTTAAGTACTTTGTGCTCAGATGACACTTCTATGGCTCCCCTTGAGGTAAGGTCACAGGATCGAACTCGGGTGTTAGGGTCTTGACTCTTTGGGGTGCAATAGATAGAGAAAGTATAGAACATATACTACCTTATAATAGAGTCAATAGTATTCAAAAAATAATTAATTTAGAGTATTCATTATTTTAATCATGATAAAATTATTATTTATATTAAAATAAAATTACAAATAATAATAATTTTTATAATAAAAATAAGTAAATAAATAATTTTTAAATTGTGACTTATTATAATAAAAATAAATACATAAATTGATAAATATAATAATTCTAAACTAGATAAATAAAAGAAAGAGTTTATTTTTTTATGTGGGTCGAGTATAATAA